AGGGACGGCGAATGTGAATTGACGATAAATTAAAAGGGTGTTTTAATTTATCAATTTTGATTAGATCAAAATAATATTTCACGTCGTTAGGCATCGTGGTCGGGAACCTAATGGGTCACACACAAAAGAGAATTGGAAGATTGCAAATTGCCAATTGATTAATTTAACAATCGTTGGATAAATTAATTAATTGGATTTGTTATTTATATTTTCGAATTAATTAATTGGATTAATTAATTCACGGACCGGGTTTAATTAATTGGATTAATTAATTATTGGGCCGGACCGGGCCGAGCCTATTTGGGTTTATATAAATACATAACTAGGGTTTGAGGTCCATTAAGGTTTTCATTATTCTTGCTAGCACAAGAGAAAACCCTAGAGGCTGCAATCATATTCTCTGTGTGGATCACCGTTGGAGGCTGGACAATTGGACAGTTGTGGTGGCAAATCAAGGTTGATAGAACAAAAGGAAAAGCAAAAAGATTGCAGATCTGACAAATGGTACAATCTTATCACAATTCCTAACCAAACACAATGAGATCTATTGGGTGGGAATCGAAATAATTTTAAATTCCGCTGTGCATGTATAAGTAGATTCCCAACATGACCAAATAAATTCGAGCTTAAATTCTTAATGAGAGCTACTTGCAATAGAAGATAATGCAGTGCAAAAGTTCTAAGTATTTGAATGTCCAAGATTCAATGGCCAAACGACGAACTTCAACTTAAAAACTGAAGTGTAATATAAAGAACTCCAGAAAAATCACTAATATTCAATGATATACCTAACTTTAGTACAGAAATTATTAAGTAAATTAAGCCAATTGTCAGTAATTAAAGAAGACAGACATGAATCCAACTGCACCCATCCTGAGAACCGTTGTCAAGCATATTATAGATATTCAAAGCCTTGGTGATGAGGACATCGGACATTTACTTATTTTATTTTCTAGTTAAACTTTATTTATTTTCTTGGACTATTATTTATAAAATTGGACTTGTATGGGCTCGGGCCCAATCTCGTTAGGGTTGCTTTACTAATTAAACCTATTTTGTATTGTAATTTTCAGTTGATAAATGAATAATTATTTTGGTGGCTTATAGCGCATTCCTCTCCTTCTTCGGCCTTCTTCTATTAAATTCTTCTTCCCCCCCCCCAATTCCCCATTCTTTCTGAATCTGTTGTCTTTTTCTATTGATCATCTTATTGGTGCTGTATCAAATTTGGTATCAGAGTCAAATTTTGGGTACTTTCTTTTCTTTAATCCAAAATTTATTCATATTGCCTTCCCAAAATATGTTGGAACAACACGATCTAAAAATTTTTTTGGTAAAGGTAGCAGTTTTTTTTCTCCTTCAATTTTTAGTTGAAAAAAAAAATAGAGTTATTGTTCATCGCGGGTACTGTTCACCCAGAATTTCAGTTTAGTATTTTGGTCAGTTTCTAAAAAAAAAAAGAGAGAGAGATTTTGGATTGTATAAAGAAAGTACCCAAAATTCGACTCTGATACTAAATTTGATGCAGCACCAATAAGATGATCAATAGAAAAAGACAACAGATTCAGAAAGAATAGAGAATTAATGGAGGGGATAAATCCTTCTGAGCACGCTGAACTCCAAAGACAAGTGGATGACCTCCTTCACAAAGGATTCATTCGCGAGAGTTTAGGCCCGTGTGTTATCCCCGCCTTATTGACACCAAAAAAGATAGCTCTTGAGAATGTGTGTGAATAGTCGTGCTATCAATAGGATCACGATGAACTATCGTTTTCCCTTCCCCAGGCTTGATGATATGCTAGATATGATGGTTGGCACGACAATCTTTTCGAAGATTGATTTGAAGAGTGGATTCCATCATATTAGAATTCGCCCAAGTAATGAGTGGAAGACCTCGTTTAAAACGAAAGATGGTATTTATGAATGGCTGGTCATGCCTTTTGGGCTAAGTAATACGCCAAGTACCTTCATGCGGGTAATGACACAAACTCTTCGACCTTTCATGAGTAAGTTTCTTGTTGTCTACTTTGATGATATCCTCATCTATGGTAAGACTAAGGAGCAACACCGTGACCACCTCACACAAGTTTGCTCTACCCTTCGTGCAACTAATCTGTAAGCTAACATCAAGAAGTGCTCTTTCTTCACCGATACGGTCGTTTTTCTAGGGTTCATTGTCTCTTCGACAGAGGTATCTGCTGACCCTGCTAAGATTCAAGCGATTATTGACTGGCTTGAGTCTAAAGCTATTCATGATGTCAGGAGCTTTCACAGCTCAGCTACATTTTACCATCGCTTTATCAAGGGGTTTAGCACTATTATGGCGCCTATCACGGAGTGCATGAAGAAAGGGGAATTTCATTGGACACAAGAAGCGGCTAAGGCCTTTAAGTTGGTCAAGAAGCGAATGACAGAGGCTCCTGTTCCCGACTTTTCCAAAGTCTTTGAAGTTGAATGTGATGCCTCCGGGGTACGTATAGGCGGAGTCTTGAGTCAGGATCGTCACCCTGTTGCCTACTTCAGTGAGAAGTTAAATGAAGTCAAACAACGGTACTCGACTTATGATAAGGAACTGTATACGGTGGTCCAGGCTTTGCGCTATTGGCGCCACTATTTGTTGCCCCAGAAATTTGTCCTTTATTCAAACCACGAGGCCCTCCGTTACCTTAACTCCTAGAAACGATTAAGCTCTAGGCATGGTTGTTGGATTGAATATTTGCAGGCCTATTAATTTGTTTTAAAATACAAGAAGGGCATGGAGAACCAAGCAGCTGATGCATTAAGTCGTCGTGTCTCCCTTTTATCGATCATGAGTGTCAAGGTCATCGATTTTTAAAGGCTTAAGGAGGATTACGAGGCATATCCCGACTTTAAAAATATCTTTCTTGTTTTGCAAAGGGGATAATCGAGCGCCTTAGATGACTTCCGACTTGAGGAAGGTTATCTCTTTAGAGCCAATAAATTGTGCATCACTCGCCCTTCAGTGCGGGACTTCATAGTGTGGAAAATTCATGCAGGAGGTTTAGCCGGTCACTTTGGGCGTGATAAGACCATAGAGGAAGTCGAACGCCAATTCTATTGGCCTAGCTTGAAGAAAGATGTGGCTAAGATTGCTAGTACATGTAACACTTGTTAGTTAGCCAAACAGAAGAGACAAAACACAGGCCTATACACTCCTCTTCCCATCCCCAATTGTCCTTGGCAAAATGTTAGTATGGATTTTGTCTTAGGACTTCCACGCACCCCAAAGAAACATGATTCTATTTTTGTGGTTGTTGATCATTTTTCGAAAATGACTTATTTTATCCCATGTAGCAAGACCTCAGATGCGTCTAAGGTGGCTGTGTTGTTCTTTAATGAGATTGTTAAATTGTATGGACTTCCTAAGACCATTGTGTCCGATAAGGATGTTCGTTTCACTAGCCATTTTTGGAGGACTTTGTGGCAAAAGATGGGTACCAAATTGAAATTTTCTACGGCCTACCACTCTCAGACTGACGGTCAAACTGAAGTAGTTAATCGAAGTCTTGGTAACCTATTACGTTGTCTGGTTCGAGAAAATCTTTGAAATTGGGATTTGATCCTTCCGGTAGCTCAAATTGCGTATAATAGCTCCATAAATCGTTCATTAGGTATGAGTCCATTTGAAGTTGTTCTTGGGTACAAGCCTAGTAAACCGTTAGATCTCATCCTTATATCCCCACGGGCTAGAGTGTTAGTGTCAGCGTCAGCCGAAGCATTTGCACAACATCTTCGTGATTTGCATATTGAGATCAATAAACAACTTGAAACTAGTAGTGCAAAATATAAACTCCAAGCTGATTTACATAAACGACACATTGAGTTTAACGTTGGGGATTACGTTATGGTCCACATTAGGCCAGAGCGGCGTCTACATGGACCTGCCTCCAAATTGCAAGCTCGTAGTGCTGGTCCTTTTAAAATTTTAAAGCAAGTTGGTCCTAATGCCTATGTTGTTGACATTCCACCACATCTTGGTTACCACTCTACTTTCAATGTTGAAGACTTAGTAGCTTATAAATGTCATTTCATTTCCTCAAATCATCCTTTGTCACTTCCTTTTGTAGACCTTGATCCCGACTATTTGGCCACTTCTAACCCACTACCACCTCTCACAGCACACACAGATAAAATTGATGCTATTTTAAATGAAGAAACTGTGTTTACTAATAATGGAGAGGTTCAACGCTTCCTCGTTCGTTAGGTTGGTCGACCAGATTCTGATTGTACATGGATCTCCAGAGAGACACTACAGCAATTGGATCCAGATATATTGGAGCTTTATCGGAGTCAGCAAGATCTTCCTTGGACTAGATCACCTCCCGTTCACCCAAGGAGAGTTGGTGAAGACACCAGGTTAAGGCCTCCACTGACACATTTCTACAGACGCCGGAAGAAGCTTGCCCAACCACTTAACTTATGGTTGGGAGATTGACGACAACTTATAGTGATATATCCACTCGACAGGGTCAAGTTTTCTCCCACCCCGAGAGAGTTGATGAAGACACCAGACATTTACTTATTTTATTTTGTAGTTAAGCTTTATTTATTTTCTTGGACTATTATTTAGAAAATTGGACTTGTATGGGCTGGAGCCTAATCTCGTTAGGGTTGTTTTACTATTTAAACCTATTTTACATTGTAATTTGCAGTTGATGAATGAATAATTATTTTGGTGGCTTATGGCGCATCCCTCTCTTTCTTCGGCATTCTTCTGTAAAAAATTTCTTTCCCCCCCCCCCCCCCCCCCCCCCCCCCCATAGATTCTTATTCAACCGTCTATGGATTCGTTTGGTATGAATTCTCTATTCTTTCTGAATCTATTGTCTTTTTCTATTGATCATCTTATTGGTGCTGCATCACTTGGCTAATAATATGTAGGCAACTAAGGCAACCACAACTGCAGGCTTCTATGAGCTATGAAGCATACAGTTGAATCCTAGGACTCGTCAAGTCTTAATCCTTCTAAAAAACTTTTCTGTACAAACAAATAATAGAAAACTCTACTTACACGTCACTAAATCTCAGCACTTAATGTTTAGCAGCTTAAGAATACATGCCAGGTACTTGCCATAAAGATCAATAACCATGCTTGTTCTCTTAAAATTTTACAGTGCATTAGGTAAAACTAATGAAACCCAAAAAAAAAAGGGTCAATTTTTTTTGAGCTTTAACTGAAAAGGCTCAGTAAGTTACAACCTTATTGAGGTGGTGGCGGTGGGGGCATCGACATCTGTGGAATAGAATGTTGTCCACCAGTGAGGTAATGCGGTGGTGGTGGCCGCCAAACAGGTGGAGCAACAAGTCTAGATGGAGGTGGTGGGGGCCTAACTAGACCAGATGCAACTTGTGAAGGTGGCGGCGGCGGCATGCTCCTGAACTCCTGCATTGGCGGAACCATGCCAATTTGACCAGGTTGTGGTGGTTGACCCTGCCAGGATGGTGGTCCGGGCATCTGCATGGGGGCGTAAACACCAGCCTGTGGAGGTGGTGGACGGAGTGCTGGGATCGGGGGTGGAGGAACACTGCCATTTGTGATAGACCGTGTGGTGGCACTAGAGCACTGGCCGTACCATTGTGCTGTGAAGGAAGCATAGGAGGTCCACTTGCAAACAAGGTATGGGGCCTACTTTTCTGGCCAGTTGGATTGCTCGCAGCCAAAACTCTCTCTGCATTCCATCAAATGTACAAGTGTCACACATAACAATCACCCAATCTACGTATATAAGAGCATATGTTGAAATATTAGTTTACGCACAAAAAATCAAGCATGCCAACACCTCAATCAAGGATGAGAAATTTCATATTTGTATGTTGAAACATACGTTTTACTAGGTAGATCAAGTATGTTTCAATTTTATTATCCATCTTGTGTGTTTCAATTTTATTATCCATTGTCCTTTCAATAATATTTTGCACTTGCTGAAGGCACAGTGATGGCTGTTAGACTTTTGCATGAACTAGTTAGGGGTGTGTGTGAGTCTGCATATACAGAGCTGCTATTCAGCTATGGGTGTTTGGAGGATGTTAGCATGGCATTGGGAAGGTTACTGATGAAAAAACAGGGGCTCGTTGGGAAAAAGCTGAACCTGCAGGACAGTAATGGGAATGAAATTCTGTGTTGGTTTGGTACAGTGATACATTTTAGTGTGAATGGTATTGGCCACCGTTTTGGTAGTATTGATGATGGCAATTATATCATAACCAATAAGTGGCGTGGTGAATATTAAGGGCTCTCTGTTTAAATTATTTTGAAAAGGAAGGGCCTTGGGACTTTTCATTCCTTGAAGAAGGAAACCATTTCCTTTCCCCTACATCGAAGTGGGGGGAAGAATGGAAGCAAAATCTAAAATAGTTTTTCTTTTTTACAAATATGAATGTACAGAGATTTGTTAAGTCACTTGAAACAACATACAAAAAATTCTCTGCGTACTTTCTATTCCATCCCTAAATTTTCCATCGAACAACAAGCACACGTCATTTTCTCTATCATGTTCTACTCCCTCCATTCCTTTCCATTCAACTTTCCTTTGTACCAGATGGCCCAAAAGAAAGCCAAATCCTTACAAGATGGGAAAGTTTGGTAAGGTTGCTGGCATTTCCCAAGTGTCACCCAGAAGGAACTCCTGAACTGAGCGACAAAGGAGTATTTGGAAGTAGGCATATCACTGGACAAATCTTTAGATTTAGTAGTCACGCAAACTTATGGACTGTAATTGTAATCTACCATCAGAAATTTCTCTTTGATTAGAAACTCAATGCAAGTAAATACTTTATGGCACTAGACAGTGATTAATATTGAAATTTAAGGAATCTCTACCTTAAAGTTTCTACATAAGAAAGCTGCCAGAGCCATTCACATCAAGGACGGAAGATCAAAAATAACAAATACATACATAGATGTAAAACAACAACAAAGAAAATCTGACCTGCAGGAGTGCCATGACGCTCCCCTTTTGTGTCTTTCTTGTATGCATAAGACACTGTTATCTGACGATTGCAAAGATACTGATCATTCATTGCCTGCAGCAACGAATTATATCAGTGTTCTCAAGGTCTAATAAAGGAATCATCAGATTAAATCATACAAGACTTTCAATGTTTTTCTTCGAGAAATATGTGATAGAAAATATCAAATTATGCCCTAAATGAGTGCGCAGATGAAATTCACATGTAGGAAAGAACAAAACAAATCAGTACAAAGTGTTATTCACTGATCCAGCACAGCATGTGAATCCTCCATCCTAATAGCCCCATCAAGCCATGTTTGAGAGCCCATGTCTGTGATTTTATAAAGTTCGATTCCTCTAAAAGCCATCCTATGAAGACAATATGACAATCACGGGGCTACATTATCTAATTCAAACTATGACATACATGAAGACAACTCATAACATCAATAAGGGTTTGGAATACTTGATTAGAGAATGCTTACTTCAGATAGGCATCAAGAACTCTGAATGCTAATGAACATGGATAGATGGAAAGCTCGGATTTGTTAACTACGTCTGAAGTGCAATTGACAAAGCTTTGAAACTTCTTTAATTCCAATGATGTGACAGCATACACGAATGTAACTATAAGTTAAACCTGCTTTGCTAGTGAAAGAGGAAGAATACATATTTTACTTGCGACATGACAAATTACTGCTCTCATTCAATTAAATTGATTTTAATTGTTTATAGAGAGTTTGATCATGGAACCAGCATAGCCCTGGAGTCAGCACAAGTATAAGAGAACATCAGATGGAGAAACTTACCTCAATAGCTGCATCAGAAGCCTCAAAAGAATCATAGCTAATAAAGCCAAAACCACGGGAATTCCCGGTCTCTGGATCTCTCATTATCTGGAGGTGTCATCAAAAATCAGAAACTCACAGGCAAATAAGCATGAATTGATACACAAATGATCAAAAAATAAAAACTATGTTAGATACGTTACAAAGTAATACAAGTGGCGAAGGCACGTGTTGCATGGATGCTTCAACTAAGATGGCATGTCCATGTCCCTCACATTGAATACCGACACTGCTTGAACACTCTATCATGAACAATTTTAATTTTCATAAGAAATATTATACGTATTTAACTCAAAATTATTATCAACAGCAAATAAATACTCATATTTAAAATATTTCAGTAAGAAAAATTAATAATAAGTACAAAACTAAATTTATACTATATAAATGAAGAATTTTAAAGAATTTAATAAACATTACGACGATGTGTCATACCGGTATTTTATGCAAGTCGCGTATCGGATTGTCGGACACATGTCCGTATCAGTATATCATAGGTGATGGCCGTTAGCAATAGCATAATGCAGTTATGTTATACACTCATCTGGATGCCTCCAATTTCTAAGAACATAACATGACGAAATGAACTTAAACATCCAACTACCCATAATGTTAGGTGAAATAGAGAAAAAGATGGAAAAAATCAATGATATTCATCAAAATAGCAAAGTCAGCACAATGATAACTCCCCTTCAATATTTTTAATGTTACACAAAACCTAATATTTCCTACAGGCAGAAAGTTTAGAACTTAGTAATTATGTACACACTTCAAAGCTACTAGGAAAATGAGGCAAATGAAATATTAAAAAAATTATTAACCAAGAATATTGTGATGGTGATTCTGCAACCACATATCCCACAGCTCATAGAATAATGGGTAAAATGCCCAGGTTTGGGCGAAGAGAATGACTTTGATTGATAGACTACTTGAAGGGATTGAACTATTTGAAGGGATGTGTGAAATAGAGGAGGACAGAAGAACAAGTGTTATTGTCAATCTTTTTGTAACGAACAATAACTTTTCAGTTTAAATTCTAATCTTGCTCTTGAAGAGGAAGCACAAAATATGCTTTTCTATGCATGTATCTGTGTCCCTATTAATACTTTTGTCCATCTCTTGTGCTTTCCTTGTTAAGGAAGGAACTTGAAGAGGAAGCACCAAGTGTGCTCTCCAATGCATGTATCTGAGTCCTTGTTAATACTTTTGTCCATCTCTTGCACTTTCCTGGTTAAGTAAGGAAGGGGGGAGGGAGAAAAGAGAACTCTGAGACAAACATAAGATATATTAAACACCAACAAATTAAAACAAACTCTCAGAGAAAAAAGAAAATTTAAAGCTGTGGATGAAAGATAAATCCATTAGTGAACTTCGGAAATAAAGAACTATCAACTATCCACTGAGAAAGCAATAACATTATTTATTCACATACAATAAACAAGAAAAAATTCAATGAATAATTGTTTTGACCTTTTTCAGCCAGCGTTTTGTTATGGCTCAAAAGATAGAATAAAAGAGAGAGGAATAAAAGAGAGGAGAGAGGTGTGACCTTTGGATTTGAAACAATGACTCCAAAAGCACTGAAAGTGTCATATAGAAGTTTTTCATCAACATCCTGCAAAGAATACGGAGAACCGAGTTGAATTTGCTAGTAAATAAATTATGCAAGAGAAGTGTGTGCTTGAGCTACTGTTTATGGAATATCCGCACCAACTACAGAGTGAAAGGAAAAAAAGAAGTGCTAAAATAAATTTAAGCATCCCAAATTTCTTACAGGATCAAGGTTTCCGATGAACAGGTTAGCTCCCACATCAATACTTTTCTTATCTTGAGACGCTTGAAACAACAAAACGAGCTGATTAAACAAATTCACCATATTTTAGTTACAATGTTGCAGCGATTCTTACAATTACAATAAGATGAGATAATATGCTCTGCAAAAACATACAAAATGGTGACAAACTCACCTGCTAAATGACATGTAATTACATACCTTATTCACTCGTATTGCCTTCCCATGCAGTTTAATCATATTTAGAACCTTAATTGCCTGCAGAAACAGGCCAGTAATCAAAATCATGGATCTCATAAAGAAGTAACTTAGACAAACAAATCTTGATTTCCAAATGAACGGTTATGCTCGCACAAGTAACACATACATAATCAGCATCTTCTTCACATCTGAACTCCACAAAGCCATAGCCTTGATGAGCATTTGTGACTCTGTCCTTGGGCACATACACATTGACTACATACAAAAAGTAAATGATAAAAATCTCAAATTCTACATATGTATAATCTAGTGTGCTTAAAATAACATGGTACACCAATTAATTGGTGAATAAATTAATGATAGGCCCTATGAATTTAATAATTCATCAAATAATTGGTGTTTTGTGTCACCGGTGCTTAGCTTATCTCATTAGATCATTTCTATATATATAATGATTACTCCAACAGTTATGGAGAAAAGAAGAAGTCTAATAAAAAGTGTCTCAAACCTACCAACAGGACCTGCTTGCACAAACAGCTCCCATAATAACTCTTCACTTACCTGCAAGTACAGAGAAAGAATAAAAACTTAGATTTCCCAGTAATTATGGAGATAAATATGGGGGACAACACACAACCAGGTATGTTCACACCCAAAAACCCAATTGGGATTTTCTTTCCTTCCCTCATGTTGGGAATAGAGTGCAATGGGAAAGTAGAATGGTCTTTGACATAATAAAACTATAGAAAATCACAAATCATACACGTTATAGTGCACGAGCATACGTGCACTGGCTTACATACTCAAAATAAAAACAGGCAGACTTATACGCAAGCGCGTAAACATGGGACTGGGAACAAGTATCGAAAAATTACCATAATCAATATTTGAAATGGATAGCTATCCAAAAATAATAATAATAATGATCAGCACCTTCAATAAGCAATTCCAAAATACAGTTTGCTGAATGGAACTACCCGAGTGGTCACTGCTTTTTCAGGTTTATGAGGAAAATGAAAATATTTTTGGCTCGAATTTCAAACCAAAGGAAAGATGAAATTTTGTAAAATAACATTTGGGTTGGGGTGGGGGGAATTTTTCTAAATGGCCTATCATTATTCATTCTTGCTAAAATGTTTATAATACCCTTAATGAAATGGTTTGCCAAATTTTGCACAAAATATCCTAATTTATTGGAATAGTTCCAAAATTCTTCTATTTCTCTCATTTCGAATTTTAATATATAATTCAATCCTTTGATCTAATAAATTAGTATAATCTGTAATATAATTGTCATATAATTCTTTAAGATTATTATATTCCTTAAATGATATATCCATAGTCTCTAGTTAAGAAAAAAAAATATTTTTTTCTAATAGTCTTTCTAACAGATTATCTAATCCTTTAATTGTATAGCCTGACATCATTTAGATAATTCCTTACAAACTTGTTCAATCCTTTAATCTAATAAATTAGTATAATCTGTAATATAATTGTCATATAATTCTTTAAAATTATTATATTTCTTAAATGATATATCCATAGTCTCTAGTTAAGAAAAAAAAATATTTTTTTCTAATAGTCTTTCTAACAGATTATCTAATCCTTTAATTGTATAGCCTGACATCATTTAGATAATTCCTTACAAGCTTTATGAATAATAATAATATGATAGATAAGTTTTTTGCAAACATGAAAAGTAATAATCCCTACGATTCTTTCAAGATATTAGAAGAATTCTTTCTAAATTTAACAAAGACAATAATTTTACCTTACGTATAATCTTAAATCTGTATTCTTAGAACCAAGTGACTTTCAGGCTCTGAATTTGCAAACTGCTCCCTCAAACGATCTTTTGCCTTAATGGGAATTCTGCTATTTTAGCTTCTTGCCCTCACTGTATCTTTTCTTAGAATTAAGAATAAAGATCTTAAGTAAATAAAATTCTCTCTTTGTTAAAGTAAGAAAGAAATTATCTTCTTCAATCTGTCAAGAATCTATGGGATAGGAAGTTCAGAAACTCATATTTTTCTGATATCAAAAGATTGGGATTTTATTTCTATAATGATTTATACAATATTTCTATTGTATGCAAAGGGTTTCCAAAAAAACTGATTTTAAAGAAAGCTTAAGGAAAGAGAATGGTTTCTAACTCGAGATGATTCATTCTTTCCCCAAAAATCTCTATTTATACATGACTCAAACTTGCTATTATTGGTCTATTGCATCATTGCATACATCGGAATTTGAAAAGGCTCACATGTCTCTCTATTCTTTTCCTCTTGGGGTCTACATTTTCACATGCATTTTTTGCTTTTTCATCAAAGAGACATCTTTTCCTCTATTATTGTCTCTCCATCTTTGGCTTCATATGCAGCTGGCTAGATGCTTTGGTAGTGGTAGGTCCCTTTACATTCATCTTTTGTCAATCTTTTTAATCTTGTCTGCATGTGGGGCACTCCCTCAATCTACATGATTCTTGAATTGTTGTAGGACTTCCATTAATTTGATGAGTATCAAATTTCTGAATATATTCTTTCAAAATAGTAGATTTTTCTTTTCCATTATTCGTAAGGAGTGTCCATCCTTCATATTGACACAAGCATCTAAATTTTTTATCATATAAGTTTTTTGCAATGTTATAAAAAATTTTCATCCCCAAAACTCTTCGGGATTTTATCCATGATTTATTGATTTTAGGCAATGGTTTATTATTTCGGCCAATTTCAATCTGAAAATCTCGACCAACATATCCAATTGTGATAATATGTTCAGCAGGATAGTATATCCTTCCATCAACCTCGGGACTTATTGAATAAATTTTGATATAAATCGATCTCCCTTGGGCAATTTTTGAAACTTCTGTCGTGAATATATCATCAAATTTTTCAATTTCTTTTAAATCTTTTCCTGGATAGATCAAATCCAGAAATCCATAATCTGCCGCCATTTTGACCATGAAAGAGTCTGCATCTTTGGTAATTATTAATCTGGGATAAACATGATCTCCTGATGCAATAAAATATGATTCATTTTCTTCCAATTCATAAATAATTTTGGCAAATGATCTATATTCTTCTTCTTTTGATGATAAAGGAGCATCATCATCTTCATCAATTTTGATTCTGATAACTTTTGTATGTTCATCAACATTTTTTATAGTCACCTTCTGGGGACTTGCTATGTCTCGTTTGATATTGCTGGGTCCACTGCTGCTTCCTGGCTGTGTACCTATTTGTATTTTTGAGATTGTATCAATTGGTATTTCCTATTTGGTATTTAATGACTCGAATTGTGAAGTAATATCAACAATTCTATCATTTAATTCTTTGGTATATTTGGAATGAGAATTAGAGATTTCTACCAACAATTTGACATTTTGTTAGATAGATTTTGCCATTTGCTGTAATTACTCAATTCCAATTTTCATTTCTGATTCTTCCATGAGCAATTTAATTCATCTGTTGACGTCTATTAATAAATTTTTGATATTATCCATTTCCAAATTCGATACTCCTGCTCAAAAAATCTGCAAGATAGTTATTTATTCCTTTAATATGAATAATATCAAAATTGTCGAATGATAAATATGCTTGCCATCTGTGTAACCTTCTATATTGAGGTTTCATATGTAACTTATTTCTAATAAATCCTACAACTTGAGAATTATCAGTTTCAACAATAAATTTTTTAGATAAAAGGAATAATGAAAACTTTTTATTCCTCTAATAATTGCTAACAATTCTTTTTCATGAGTAATATAATTTATTTTTGCTTGGTTAAAAGTTCCACTTGAATATCTACATATTTCATTTAAATCTATTTTTAATATAGCTGCCCAATATTTATCTGGGGTATTAGTATTAACAATTAGATTATCTTTTTCATCTGGTACCCTTAATTTTGGTAAATTTTTACATTCTTCTTTTAATGATTTAACAATTTTAGCATGTTCTTTGTTCCAACATTTAGTATTTATTTTCCTATGTAGAATTTGTATCTTATGTCTATTTTTTGAGAGATTTTCAATAAATCTTTCAGCATAGTTTAAACATCCTAAAAAATTTTGTATTTGTTCTTTGAATTTTAATTCATTTGGAAAGCTTTCTATCTTTTTATATATATGAGTCTGTAATTTTATTCTTTTTCTATCTATTGATAATTGTAGAAAATCTATTTTTTATTTCTCGATTATAGATTTCTCTTTAGAAAGCACAATTCCTTCCTTTTTGCATTCATTTATGAATTATAATAAATGATTCCTATCTTCTTTTTTATTATTAGAGTATATTAATATATCATCTATATAAACAATAAGAAAATCACTAAACTTTTTGAATATATTATCCATTTTCCTTTGAAATATTTGTAGTGAATTTCTTAAACCAAATGGCATAACTAATCATTCATATTTTCCTTGAAGTGTACTAAAAGGTGTATATTGTATACTATCTTCTTCCATTTTTATTTGCCAAAATCCTGATTTACAATCAAATTTGGAATAATGTTGTTTTCCTTTTTCAAGATTTATTAGGACTTCTTTATTTGGTAAAAAGTAACCATCAAATTTAGTATATTTATTTAATTCCTTATAATTTATTACCATTCTAACTTTTCCTCTAATTTGCTCAGAATGTTTCATAACCATAAAAGTTGGACTACTATGAGGTCCATTACTAGGTCTAATTAACTTTTGTTCTAATAGTTCTTTTATTTGAATTTTAAATTCTTGCATATCCTGTAAGGTATACATCATTGGTCTAACCCTTATTATAACATTTTTCTGTTAATTCTATTTTAGCTTTAGAATGATATGGTTTCCAAAATAATAATGGGTTTTCTCCATAAATTTTTTCTAATTGTTCTATGATTTTTTCCATACTTATTTCTATTTTTGTTTTTAGGATCTTTTGATATGATAGTTTTTTATTTTTTAGTTCATCTTGTACTATTGGTCGTTTTTCCCATTTATCACCACGTTGGGATGGCTGAACTCTATATGGTCTAAATTCTCTTAGTATTTTTAATAGATGTGCACAACGTGTTTGTAACATTATCGTGTAATTATTTTGTTTATAGTATTGAAATTGTTGGATAAAGTCATTTTCTAATAATATATCACATTCTAGGTTATTATAATTGTATACTTTATTTATTATAACTTGTTTACTACAAAGTATTATATTAATTTTTTCAGCACTATCAATTATTTGAGTACTTTCTCCAATCACTCCTGTTATTTTTATTTTACTATTTTTATACCATGATTTTATTAAAAAAAATTTAAAAATTGTTATATCACTTCTTGTATCAATTAAGGCACAAGTTTTTATGTTTGTTTCTACTATAGTAACTTGTATATATACTGCCAATGAAAAACTTATTTGATTATTCATCAACTTCCTATTTTACATAATGTAGTTTATCCTTTATGAATTATATATAATCCTTCTCTTTTTATACTATAATCTTCTAATCCATTTAAGAAACTCATTCCTAATAATATATGAGGTTCAATATCCATACTTTCATTCAAATAACATGATACTAAAAGATCAATTCCACCTATTTTTATTGGTACCTTTACCTTTAATTCTGTAATATATAATTGTCCATCAAAATTCCTGATTTCATATGGTTCTATCTTGTAAGTCATTAATCCTTCATTTTTATTTGCAGTCATATGACATTCACCAGCTCCTGTATCTATCAATATATTTAGTCATTTTATATACCTTCTACCGTTGAAATATTTTCCTTCTATTTTCATATTTTCAATATTTCCATGAAATTTTATTTCTTTTATACCACTAGTTTCTCCTAAATATTCTTTTTTATTAGGTAGTCTAAAATTTTTTGATTTCTTTATCCACCTTCCATTGTGAAATATTATTTTATAATCTTCTTCTTCTCTTAACTCTGTTATTTCTGGTTTATTTTTACTT